CATTCCTGCAGCACTTCCAAGGAGCCGTTGCCTCACTCCCAACTCTGAACTGTTCAGCCTCCTTCGCTTGTTTGCGCCCTTGCTAGAGGTCTTCTTGAGCCAGCCTGGCCTGCTGAAAACACCAGGTAGCTGCAATCCTTGCAACACGAGTAATACTCCCTGAGGTCATATTACAATAGAATCAAAATGGTCAGCATATCACATGCATCTCAGTTTTGTTTCTGGCTACTACTACCAACAAAGAGCTTTTAAAGTTCATTTCACATAAGAAGCAAACCCTGGAGAACAGGAGCGTGGCACAAATACCTTGTGGAGCAGGCAACGGGAAGGTGTTGCTTGGGAGGCCTGCTGGCTTTCAGGGGTTCTTTGGCTCACCTGGATCTAGTCAGTCATCTGTTCCTTGCTTAAATTTAGCCCAAAATAATAAATCACTCAAGCTGCAGTGTGATAATTGTCCTTAGGGATAGCGAGTCTGGAGGTAGCAAAACCAGACCACACCCACAGCAGCTTATTTAAAGCACCTGGGGTTGCCTAATGTGCTTATTAGCAATGACACGCATCACACAAACAGGTTTTCCTTCTTCCAAGCAAGGCAACAAGCCTCCTATCAGGCCTTGAATCCCATCCTGCCAAGGGCAAACCTATTCCCACAGAGCCCAACACCTCCATTGAAATAGCCTTTTAGGAGTTTACCTGATGTCATCAAGCTTCTTCATGAGCAATCCTTTTCCACTGCTCAGGGCAAAGGGCGAGGCCGTTCCACCCATCTCCTTCCCCCAAGGCTTTTGGAAGGACCGGCCCCAGCTTGGAAGTGTAATAGCTGGTTTTCCTTTCCAGCTCTTCTATTCGGGCAAGAGATGCAACCCTTCCTCCCCCAGCACCTGGGTCCAGAGCAGCAGGCCCATCTCTCTGCAAACTGCTCTAATCTTTCACCCTTGCCACAGTGAAACCTTTTCCTTTTTACATCTAAGTGCCCCCATTTCCCCTCCTGCCTCTGCCCCCCTGCAGGGAACAGAGATTGCACCTTGTTCTATCCTGGGCTGCGCTGGAAGGCTGCTTTTGCCAGCTGGCACAGTGCCTCAGCTGCTGCCAGGCCAGCCTCCACACAGGAGAGGGGAACTGGCAGCAGTGCTGGACTTGGACGCCTCTTGCAGCAGAGCCAGGCTCCTGCACTGCCATAATCCTCCACAGGAGACCGAGCTTCACACGGACACTCCAGCCTGATCCAGCTGCACAACTTCTCTGCCTGCTGTGATCCAGGTATAACAGGAGGCTGGGATCATTACAAATGATTTTTGGTTGGGATCTGGGCAACTAATGGGCTCAATGGAATTGCTAATGTGGGTGTTTGTGTGGTTGATGCGAGTGGTACAAACACCTGAGAACATTTCAAAATGTTTTTGGAATGGGTGAGACCTGAATATTAAAAAAAAAAAAAAAAAAAAAAAAATCAAGATTCCTAACTTCCTTTCAGTGGTGTCTTCCACTTGAGCTCAGTGCTTTCCAGCAGTTACCAAGGTGTTTTGTATAGCGAGAATGAACTCATGTGTAAACTCTTACATCAGTGTTCATACAAAATAACTGGAAAGCTTGGTGCACAGGAATTGCTGCTTGTTAGGTTTCCAGCTGCATTAATAACCCTGATACAGAAGAATATGGGGGTCAGGTGGGAAAATGGAAAGGGAGCCTGTCAAGCCATAACAGGAAATAGATCATAGGACGATAGGGGAATAAGACTAGAAGGCATCTCGCAGGGTCATCTGGTCCAGCCCCCTGCCCAAGGCAGAATGGTCCCAGACTTCACTATTTCAGCCAAGTGTCTATCCAACCTGCTCTTAAACATTTCCATGGATGTTCCTCAAGGTAGCCTGTTCCAATGTGTGACCACCCGCATAGGCCAACAGTTCCTCCTAATCTCCAGCCTAAGATGCTTCTGCTCTGGCTTGAAGCCATTGCTTCTAGTCCTGTCCTCGACTGCCACAGAGAAGCCCATCTCCTCCTCTCTAATCACCTTCAGGTATCTGAAGACTGTTATCCAATTCCCTCTCAGTCTTCTCTTCTCCAGCTGGCAGATCCCTTTTCTTTAAGGTCTGCAAAAGTGCACGGACTCTCCGTGGGAGCAGCCAGAAAGAGGCAGTAATTTTTGTACGCCTCCAAAGGCAACCTGCTATTCACACACACACAAGCATTCGAGAACAGAAGGAAAAAGCCAAGACGGGTCAAAAACAGAGTCAACTAAAATATATATTTAGGTGAACCTAATTATTCTCTACCCTCTGATGTGATTTTTGATCTCTTGAGGTAGGCAATAGTAAGATCTGAACGATTGTCAACTGGAGACCATCCATACAATCCTTTTCCTGCAGAAAATACTTCCGTTCGTATGTTTAAATATAAAACATGGTTATGTAAACTTGTAGATCTAATATATTTATGGCAATTTTACATAAGCCAGCAAAGAACAACTTCAAAATGTTGTTTTTGTGCATTTTTAATTCAATACCAATTTCCACCCAAACGTAGTTTGGAAGAAATCCCAAGTAAAAGATTAATTCCCAGCTAGAGGAAAAATACATAATTTATATTTTGGCATGTAAGAAAGTGGTAAGCATAATGAAGCTGAATACACGTACTGTTTTGTTGACCATTTTTCCTCCAAACGAGACATCAAAGAGTGCACCTGGTTTACATGCAGTTGCTTTATAATCAGGCTCCCAACAGTCTTAATGTTTAAACTTGCAGTATTTTTTGTACATGCAATAAAACTGTCCAGTCACGTTTTTTTCTGTGCAGCTTTTCCTTTAGCATTTTTGGTGCATTTAACCCTCTGATTCTTTTCCTTGGTGATTTGATTCTGTTGTAGGGTTGTGCAATGGCAACAGAAGCCCTAGGTTTTTATCTATAATAATTTTTCAGGGAAAAAGCTGATTTTTCCTAAAAGCGAACCTGAAAATGTGGGGGTGCTGTATGTGCAGGCCTAGACTTATCATCAGAACAGCATGGTAGGTTAAGCTACATAATTCCTGTAGTCAATTTTTGGGGGGAGATGCAATGTATTTTCCAGTTTAGCAAACTGTGTTTAGTTGCAAAATCAGTTCTTTGGGGTTACCAAATAATGAAAACGAACCTCTCTTTTGATGCCAGACAAAATCACAGACAACAAGGGCTGGAAGGGACCGAGGAGGTCGCACCTAGTCCAACCCCCTGCTCCAAGCAGGACCAGCTCCAACTACATCATCCCAGCCAAGGCTTTGTCTAGCTGGGTCTTCAAAACCTCCAAGGATGGAGATTTTCAACATTTACCACTACCACAAAAAGTGGACGGAGAAACTAACACTGAACCTCTAAGTCCAGGTTTCTTGCTTCAAATCACTTCAAAGATCAGCCATTAAAATCACCCCACCTGCCTCTTGGAACCAGATTCTTATGGGCTGGGGAAAAGACAAGAAGTGAAGCTAGTGTGGACAGTTGATGAGTAAAGGTGTCCTAAACACTGCTGCTATCGCCACCACTTACCATCCTGTGCTTGAAGCATGGGGCCACAACCTCCACCTCAGCTCATCCACCAGAGCAATGCCCGCAAGCTCCCCTGCCAGGCTGCCTGCCCCGACCCCGGGTCCGAATGCCCGCAGTTCATCCGCAACAGCCACGGAATCGGGGCCCGCTCTCCTCCCTCTGGCATGCTGCAGGTATGAGCACAACTCATTCTTCAGTCTCAGCAGCCAGACGTGACTTCTTCCTCCCCAGAGGCTAATCCACCAGCACCCAGACACTTCAACCAGTCTTCACAGAAGACTGTCTGGGATCACCCCTTAGCTTGCCTGCCCGCCCCGTTCTTCCTGTGCCACGCACAGTGCTGGAGCATGGCTCACGCACAACTTCTCTCCCGCTCCCAAGTGACCAGCTATGTGCTTTCACAACCCCCCTTTCACTTTCCTGGCTTGGAGCTGGTGAAAGCCACTGGGCTGGTCAGTCCTGAAAACCAGCAGCCCCAAACAGGAGCAACACAGGCGAGCGTCCTCCTCAGCAGCACTCAGAAATCATCCTGGGTCCGGAGACCCTCCCTGTTCAATCGCCCGCTCCCAGCTGCCCGTGTTTAACACAGCGTGGAGTCCGACAGGACCGCA